GGGTTGCCTCGCAGTGCAGACGACATCTGGACAGGTACCACTCCGGCAATTCGCCGGACCTCTTCCAGTACTCCTTGATCTTCCTGCTCTTGAACATGCAGGCAGTTTTCCTTTTGGTTAGCATCGTCAGCACCAAAGCAGTGGACCCAACGACAAACCCAATAGCAGTTGAACATTCAGGTCCAGAACCTACTCCTACCTCACGGGGAACTTCGCTCAGCCGCACCGGTCCCAAGTCCGGTGGTGTTCATAGGCCAGGCAGCAGTCATCACAAAAATTATTCTGCTGATTCTCCTGGTTAGCGTCAGATCCACACTTTCTGTGAACACAGATGCGAGGGTTGACATCTCAGCTGGCGCGATGTCTGGAGTCGGTGGGCTCAACCTACCGGCGAAGCCAGTCAGCTCTCGGAGGGCTTTGCCGCCCGAAGCTGAGAGTACACTCTCGAGAAGTGGTAAGAGATCATATGCTAGGGCGTATGCCCGCTCTTGTAGAGAAGGTGGGGCTCATTTCCGTGGTCGCTGGCGTCCGCATACCTGGTTCCAACCACGACATGTACCACCACAGCATGTGCCTAAGACCACGGCTAGCAGTCAACCAGGACCCGATTCTTGGAAGATTCTCACATGGAACTCAGGTGGCCTCACGGCACAAGTGTACCAAGAACTGCAGACCTACGTGCGCCTCCACCAGTATGACCTCGTACTGGTCCAGGAGACTAAATGGTCTTTTGATGCAAATTGGAGCACTCGTGATTTTCATTATGTGCATTGTCATGGAATCCAGAAAGAAGACCGAGCGACAGGACTGCTGGTGATGATTGCGGCAAAGCACGCCAAGGCCGATGACATTCAATTTAACATTGTGCACCCCGGTCGCATTCTCCACGTCAGGTTACCGGTCGGGCAAGTTCACTTGGACATCATCACTTGGTATCAATACTCCAGCAGCACTGCTGAAGGAGTTTATGAAAGGCGCCACCAACTGCTAGTGAAATTGCAGAAGTGCCTTCTTGCTTTGCCTCAACGAAATCCTTTGGTGTTCGCAGGGGACTTCAACTGCGGGATGGTTTCGCATCAGGCCCTTTGTGGGCCTTGTGTCCTACCTGCCAACCCTCTCCAGTACAAAGATCTGCAGGATCATCAAGACGTTCTGCGAGCCCTGCCCGTGTGTATACTCAACACATGGACGCGCCCTAAGCACGGTCAGCTAGCCACTTTCACTTTTGGCTCTCTGGCATCACAAATTGATTACATAGTGGTGCGACACAGACAGGCTAATCGCGTTGCCAAGAAGGCTGCTATCCTTGACAAGTTTCCTGTAGCCCAATGGCGACAAGGCGGCAACCACCATCCTGTGGTGGCGTATGTGCCGGTGCCTCGAAGAATCCTTGCTCAAGCTCGGAAGACCCAGCCTGCTTTTGACAGGGACCGACTACTGCAAGACCTACGGCAGCCAAAGGCGCCCACCTCCCTTGTTCAACTCCGGGAGGATATACAAGCATCAATGCCTACACCGATCAGCCACCTCAATGATCTCCTGTTACAGGTTGCAGTCCGACATTACCCGGCACCTCCACGACCCAGTCTTCCTCCGGATCAACCCCTCGAGCTGGCCAACTCTGCCAGGCACATGTGGGCCATTTTCCGTGAAATGCGGAAACAGAAATTTACCATGCAGGGCATTGCTACGGCATGGAAGCTATGGGTTCGCTTTCAGAGGGCACACAAAGCTCACAAGGACCGGTCGAGGCAACGAACTAAGCAGAAACGTGACGACCTCTTACAACAAGCTCAGGAGGCAGCTGACAAAGGGCACTACTCCGGCCTCTGGCGAATTGTCAAGCAGATGACGCCCAAGGTTCCGCGAAAACGTCTGCAGCTGCATCGAAATGGGCACATCATTAGCACGACCGAGGAAATGGATTGGATACTGCAGGCCTACGGCGAACGGTACGGAACCTCAGCTGTGGACGGAGGATGGCAAGGTCCGATTGGATCAGATATCTCGGTCACCATTGATGCTTCGGAACTTCGGGATCAAATGCTCAGGATCCACCCTGGCAAGGCTGTCCCTCGCGGGAAGGCGGCGGCCATCCTCTGGAAGGCCTGCGCACAACAGATTGCCACCACAGTAACCGAGGAAGTCAACCATGGCTGGAATCAGTATCCTTTGCCGCCTCAGGTGGATGAAGGATGGTCCGAGGCCACTGTCTCGCTACTCCCCAAGGCACATGGGAGGATGCAATCGCCCTTGGATCTTCGACCCATTGGGCTACAGGATCCTCTGGGCAAGTGCGTGATGACGCTACTTCTTCGACAGGCCCGTTCTGCAGCGGAGACTTTGATCAAACAATATCCTCAGACTGCATATGTGCAGGGGCGTGGCACCAGCACGGCACTCAGACGAGTGTTTGCTCACTGTGCTTTGGTGCGAGCTGAATGCGGAAATGATCGACTGAATCCACATCAACAACGAGCTGGAGAACAAAAGAAACAGTGCAGTGGAGGACTGCAGCTGAGCCTCGACATGTCTGCCGCTTTCGACTTAGTTCGTTGGGATTTCTTAAAGGAAGCCATGGACTTTGCGAACATCCCGATCTGTGTTCAAGACATACTACTGGTCTGGCTCTCGCAAGTACGGTACATCTTTCATCATAGAGACTGTTCGGGCTCCCTCCAACCTCAATGGGGATTGAGGCAAGGATGCGTGGCGTCTCCCATACTCTGGAGCTTGTTTACCTCGCTCATGTGTGCGTCTCTTGACCGCAAACTTGGCCCACGCTGGTCGAAGGAACATGCTACTTTGTACGCCGACGACTCACACTTGAAGTGGAGGTTCGAAACTTACGTCGAGCTTGAGCGATGCATGATGGAGGTTCGCGTAGCCCTGGGTGTCTTCAAGACTTTCCATATGAAGGTGAACTACGAGAAGACCAAAGCCATCCTGAAGGTGGTGGGGAGTCTCCGGAGTCGAGTTCACAAAGAATATGTTCGAAAACATGACCAGGAAAGGCGACTGCTGCTTTCGCCGCGAGATCCCTCGGCCTGGGTTGCACTTGTGCCACAAGCTGAGTACCTGGGACTCATCATATCGTACGGGGCCTTCGAACTCCAGTCCATGAGGCATCGCATTGCCAAGGCCAACAAACGGCGGTGGGCTATGGCATCGGTACTTCACTCTCGCAGGCTTAGCGTGGGCTACAAGCTGCAGGTCTGGCGCAGCTGCGTACTCAGCACTCTCACCTACGGTCTCCATTGTTGTGGCTTATCCGGTGACCAGCTGCAGGAAGCACAGCGACACATGATGAAACACGTCAGGGCCGTCACCAACAATCAGGCTCATATCACTGGCGATTCGCATGCAACCATCATGGATAAGTTCGGTGTGCAGATGATGGTCAGCCTCCTGCAGAAAACCCATGATCGTGAACGACAAGCGGACACCTGATTGGATGCGAGATGAATCGTGGTTCCACCATGTCTCGGAAAGGTTGTCGCAACAGAGTGAGCCTGAGCCCGAAGGTATTGAGTCCGCTGTGTGGGCTTGCCCGATCTGTGAGGAATCCTTTACTACCTCTGCGGCGCTGAAAACACACGCCAGACGGTCACACAACATTGTGGACGAACACAAAGAAATCTTCAACAAAGCACGACACTCCAAGAACGGCTTGCCGATCTGCAAGTTCTGTGATCGCAAATTTTCGAAGTGGCAATCGCTGGCGGTCCACATTAACAACAATTCCTGTCCTGTGCTGATTGTTTCCATGGTTGATCATGAAGATCCTGACTTTGCAAACACACCAGCTGAGCCTCCACCAGTGCTGTCGGCTGAGCCGGCACCGCCGGATCAAAACACCACTTTGACCATTTGTCAGCTACCTGAAGTGTTGGTTGCAGTGCAGAAGGGCATCAATGCATTCATCCCGCTCAAGGCCGTCACAACACAGCTTCTGCAAACATGTGCCATTTGTGGGCAGTGGGTAGCTTCGCATCGAACTCTCAAACGACACTATCAGTACTCCCATAAAGACATCCTCGACACCTTGAATACCAGCATTCAGAAGCTTGTTGTTCGCACAGCCACGGCTAGTCCGACGTGCCATTACTGTGGAGTTGCGTGCAAGGACTGGCGGGGACATCTCAATAAATGTACGGTGGCATGGCAATGTGCAGTCTTGGTGCTCATGGACCAGGATGTTCGAAGACGACGAGCTGACCGAGTTCTTCGGGGAGCTCCGCGAGAACAAGCCCAAGAGGAGGAGGCCGGAAGCCAGAGATGCGCATACCAGCCAGCAGGCAGCAGCGAGCCAATCAACCTTCGGAGCGGGCGGCTTGACTCTTACTTCTCTCGCAAGGGTTGTGCTGAGGCAGGACGAGGAGATAAGAGTGATCAAACAAGATCACTCACTGGTCCTTTGGCTGAAGGCAGGTGCGGATTCGATCATGCCGTTTCTTCACAGGACAGCGGCGCACTTCAAAAAGAAACAGGAGGAAAACCCGGAGTGGGGCCCGGGATGGCAACCGCTACGCACGGTCATGGCATTGGCCATGATACGAGAGTTGGCCAACAGACTCGAGGCCACCATGAAGGACGAGACCCTCCTAAAGACGGTGACGGAGAAAGGCTGGCTGGACAGCCAGCGCAAATGGCGCTACCAACGCTGGAATCCGCGTTTGCGTTGTCTCGAAGAGGACAAGGACAGGGCAGCTCTGACCACAGAAGCCCTGGTTCCACTGCTGGAGGAGATATATGCGGCTCTCAAAGGCGAGACGGTCACCCGGTTCAAGTGCACACGACGACTCACAGAAACAATGGAGTCGCAAGCAGTGTTCAAAATGGATATCTCAACAAGGGGCGAGGGGATCAAGGCCTGGAACAAGATGCTCGAACTTCAGGGCAACAGCGTCTGGCAGCTTGTTGGAGTAGCTTACCGAAAGGAAAGCCTCAAGGACAGCCCTGCCATCCAGAAGCTTCGCGACCTTCTTCGACCGAAGTGAATGAGGAGTCCATGTATGGTACACTCAGGCTCGTCCTTGGTAATCACACCAATGCCTGCTACATGAACAGCTTTGTGCAGGCTTTGCTATGGGCGGCTGAACTTTCTGGGGATGCAAGCTTTTCCTGTCTGGGGCAGTGCGCTTACTGGTTTCGTCAGCTCCTCGTACGACCTCGAGCTGTTGAAATGCACCTGACAAGGGATACGACTTGGAGTGACCTCATTGCCGACTGGTCGGATCCTCATCGTCAACATGATGTTGTGGAATTCGCTGCTTTTCTTTGTAATAAGTACCATGTTTCCTTGGTCACAGGCATTTGGGTGTCCAGAAAGCTTTGCGAGGGGATCTTTGTACAAGTGGATATGGGGTTCACCACTCAGCCAATCTTGCTGCCACTTCCAGCCTACCCACCGGGACTTGTGATCATCAAGGTACAGAAGCTTGTAAATGAGTGGATGACTCAAGAGAATGCACATGCTCTCACGGTGGCCCCCTCGGTGCTCATGCTTCAGCTTGGACGATTCAGTGCCGGAGCTGGCCGAGTGGCCAAACTACACACGTCCATTGATGTGGATGCGATGATACAGGTGCCTGTCTTCAGTGGCTCTGGTGTTCAAACGCAGCAGGAGGCCTATCGTTGTGTTGCCATCGTATGTCACCATGGTGCTCACCCGAGATCTGGACACTATCAGGTCATACTACGCCTCGGTTCTGAATTCTGGCTCTGTGACGATAGACGGGCAGCTCAACGCATCACCAGTTTGCCCACATGGCTACACAAGTGCTGCTACTTGTTGCTCTACCAACGAGTTACCACACATACCGAACGCATCGAGTGCATCGAACTTTGATGTGATACCACTTCCAACCATCATGCTTGGTTCCTCGGAACGGTGATGGGTAGAGAGTACCTCTCTTTGAGGCAGCCAAATGGCTGCGTGCACAAGGCACCGGGCTCATGTGAGCTTGCTCCAAACCGACGCTTGGTGGATCGGACATCCGCTGCGATCGAAGCTCGAAGCTGCTGCTGCCGCTGCCACTGCCGCTGCCGCTGCCCCTGCCCCTGCCCGTGTTCCTGCCACTGCCGCTGCCGCTGCCGCTGCGGCTGCGCCACTGCCAATGCCACTGCGACTGCGACTGTGACTGCTGCTGCTGCTGCTGCTGCTACAAGAACAACAACTACCTCTACTACCACTACTGCTGCCGCTGCTACTGCTTCTGCTGCCACTACTACTACTACTACTACTACTACTACTACTACTACTACTACTACTGCTACTACTATTCAGTATTACTTAGTGAGTTAGTACTACGACGACTACGCCGACCACTACCAGTACTATTCCTGCTTCTGCAACACCCTGGCCGTTCTTCTCCTGCATTCAAGGGTTTTCGAGTCGTTCATCAGTACACCAAGCCCCCGGCCAAAATCCCGAAACCCTGAACCCCTAAATCCCTAAGCCCTAGAACCTCACTCTATATGCCTGTGCAACTCGATGCAACCCTATGGATGCCTTCATTTAAACCGACCTAAAACCATGGCTTTGAAATACTTTAACCCGACATCCCCGAACCTCAGCTCTGCGTTTTGGAACTGACAGCAAGCCCCCCTAAAAGAAGCCTTCAAGATTCGTAACATAGAAGAGTCAGTAATCACCAGTCCTATTCCTTGGCGTTCCCGCTATAACCATACTAAACCCCAAACCCCAAACGCTCAACCCTAAACCCCAAGCCGTAAACCCTCAACAATACACCAACCCTAATGTAGGAACCTGATAAAGAATCCTGGCCTTATAACATCCAACAAAGCAGTATTCATATAAGGAACCCTAATAAAGGCCCAAGGTTCCTACATACCCCCCTCATCACTAAATCTTTTTCCTTACATATCTGCGAGCTGGAAAAAAAGGCGCTTCAACATGGAACACCCTTAAACCCTAAACCCTGCCTCTGCCCTTTTTTGGATCATGGCCAGGCTTTCCTGGATGCGTCGGAGCTTCCGGCCGGCGCCCCGGAGTTCCAGACGACATTAAACCCCTAAACCCCTAAACCCCAAACGAACCCCTAACCCAAAAGTCCCGAAGCTCCCAAACCCTAAACCCCAAACCCTAAACCCTAAACCCTAAACCCTGAACCCTAAACCCTAAACCCTAAACCCTGAACCCTAAACCCTGAACCCTAAACCCTGAACCCTAAACCCTAAACCCTAAACATAAAGCTGCCCCTTAAGGCTCCCTCCCTGGACGTCGTCCAGCGCGCTCTCGCGGGCGAACTTAGTGAGGCGAGGATGGCTTTGATTTACTTACCTTTGCTTAGTAGGGAATGGAGGAATTAGGAATGGGGTACAATTATCATTGTGAGGGTTTAAGGTTCACAGGACCAAAGGGTTCTACAGTTATTTTTTTTTCCTGTTGCTGGTCGTGGTTTTAGTGACAGTGAACTGTAAAAGGTTGCGTGGTGTAAGGTTGTATTTGGCTTTACGAGGCTGGTGCGGGGTTGTATAGCGCTTGATTTTTTGTGTCTGGCGCTTGTGAGTTTAGGCGGGGGAGGGGGAGGGGGTGGGTGGTTATAGGACATATCGGGCAAGCAGAAGTTTCCGATAAACAAACGTATTTCCCCCCATACGAAGCCTTTTACCCAAACATGACATCCTTGTATCCAAGGGTAAAAGGAGGGACCCTTAATAAGGACCCCTAGAGGTATACCCTTAACATAGCCATTATATACCCATAATAGGGTAGGGGTCCCCATTACGGGTCCTTCCTTTTCCCCTTTGAAAGTTGCGGTTTCGGCTGGTTCCCGAAAGGCTGACAAGGATGGCTTGGGGATTATGCTTCCCAGAGACTCCAATATCCCTTAGTTAAGGAATATTCCTGAAATCATATTAGGGATCCTACTATAATTTAAGGTATATTCCTTAATCAAGGGATAGAGACTCCAATATCCCTTAGTTGAGGAATATTCCTGAAATCATATTAGGGATCCTACTATAATGTAAGGTATATTCCTTAATCAAGGGATAGAGACTCCAATATCCCTTAGTTGAGGAATATTCCTGAAATCATATTAGGGATCCTACTATAATGTAAGGTATATTCCTTAATCAAGGGATAGAGACTCCAATATCCCTTAGTTGAGGAATATTCCTGAAATCATATTAGGGATCCTACTATAATGTAAGGTATATTCCTTAATCAAGGGATAGAGACTCCAATATCCCTTAGTTGAGGAATATTCCTGAAATCATATTAGGGATCCTACTATAATGTAAAGTATATTCCTTAATCAAGGGATAGAGACTCCAATATCCCTTAGTTGAGGAATATTCCTGAAATCATATTAGGGATCCTACTATAATGTAAGGTATATTCCTTAATCAAGGGATAGAGACTCCAATATCCCTTAGTTGAGGAATATTCCTGAAATCATATTAGGGATCCTACTATAATTTAAGGTATATTCCTTAATCAAGGGATAGAGACTCCAATATCCCTTAGTTAAGGAATATTCCTGAAATCATATTGGAGTCTCTGGGTTTGGGGCTGGACCGTTGAGGAAGTCCTTGGCCTAAGCCCTTAAGCCAAAATCCAAACTCCAGAACCTCTGCACTGTCGAACCGAAGCCCTCAACCCCAAACGCCCTAGACCCCTTAACCCGTAAATTGCTACACCCCTTCTAGCCCCAAACCCCCAAGCTTTCAAGGGGGGGGAAGTCCTTCACCTCACCATTCCCCAACCTTTCTGTAAGGGCCTCAGTAATTACCAATACTCTTTTAGGGGGCTCCTTCTCACTAGTATAGTATAATGGGCTTCTACTAACCTGTATTAGATTTTCCTCGTAGTTTTGGAGTTGAGAGGAGGAGGATCTCCGAGCCTCCTCCAACTTCTGCCGCCCGGGCCCCGCTTTCTCGCATGGGAGATGTGTTTGATGATGTAATGCAGAGGCCTTAATAATTAGAACAGGGTTTTGGGGGTTCCTGACTATAATTATGGCATGATGTACTCCCAAAGCCTATTCTAATTCTTAAGGCAGCCACATTTACCGGGAGCTCTTTCTGTTCTTGGTGTTGTTTTGCATCCTCTCCCGTGCACGATGCTCAAATGGTGATGCTTTCCTTCACCGTCGACCTCGCCCACCAAATTCGCAATGGCCATTGGCTACCCGCCACAGCAACCACATCACCGGCATCTTCGCCATATCGGTTAATGTCGCCATTACAGGGGTACTCCTGGCTCATCTTCATCGTTATGTGCATCTGGATCATCATGATCATCATCACCATCATCTGGGTCATCATCATCTTCATCATCAGCATCACCGTCATCATCTGCATCCTCATCATCATCATCATCATCACCATCACCATCACCGTCATCATCATCGTCATCTTCATCATTGTCATCATCACGACCATATTCATTATCCTCATCATCATCACCATCATCATCATCATCGGCACCATCATTACCTTCCTCCTCCTCCTCCTCCTCGTCCTCGTCCTCGTCGTCGTCACCGTCGTCATTATAATGGCCGTCATCATGAACGTAATCATCGCCGCCACCACCACACCACCAGCACCACCACTTGAAACAGCGATTGTCACTGCCCCCAGCATGATCATCGACTCAGACAGTTGTTTGGCTGGGGAGTTCTTGCTTGGAAAGTTTGTCCGTGTTTGCTCGTGGTTCTTCATATGTGCCCTGTTTTGGGGGGGATTCAGAAGCCGGGTTCTAAATCATGTGCTTGCAGCCATCTGAGGCTTTTATCAGCTGCATCACAGGAGGCCATCACCGGAATAAAGCAGGTGTATATTGGGGATTTTCGCGAGCGCCTGGATTCACCACATGCAGTTGTAGCAGTTTTGACTATGACTTTCACGGAACATGGTGAGTGCATATCTTGGGCGCCATTTGGGATAGATACGGGTAATTCACGGATACCCTTAATTTCTCACCCCTGCACCCTCAAAGCCGCGATATGCCTAATTCCCCCTCCCCGTA